TCTCTCTCTCTCCTCTCTCTCTCTCTCTCTCTCTCTCTCTCTCTCCTTTGCCATATAAAGATACAGCAAGAAGGTGGCTGTCTGCAAGCCAGGAAGAAAGCTCTCACCAGGAACTCAATTGGCCAGCACCTTGATCTTGGACTTCCCAGGCTCCATAATGGTGAGAAATAAATGTCTGTGGTTTAGGCCACTCAGTCTATGGTATTTTGTTATGGCAGCCTGAGCAGACAAATATAGGGGTTATAGCTAAAGGGTGTGGGGGTTTTTTGGTGGTAATACAAATTTTCTAAACTTGATTGTGGTGATGGTTGCACAATTCTGTGAATATACCAAAAGCCATTGAATTGTACACTTGAAATGGTGAAGTGTAGTGTATGGTATGTGAATTATATCTCAATTAAGCTGTGTTTTAAAAAGACACTATAGCTTCTCTCCTTCTCTGCTACCCTCCCACCCCCCAAGATCACTCACTCCCATATGGTGAGGTACTGAGGCCTTCATCCAACAGCCAATGAGAAACTGATGCTTTCTGACAACAGTCATGTTGGTGGTGGATCTCTGAGTTCCAGTCAAGCCTTCAGATGGCTGCAGCCTTGGGTAATAACTTGACTACACTTTCATGAGAGACCCTGAGCCACAATCACCAGCTGAGCTGCTCCTGGATTTCTGACTCTCAGAAATTGTGTGAGATAATAGATATTTGTTGTTTTACACTGCTAATTTTGGGGGAGTCTGTTATGCAGCAATAGATAACCAGTACAGTGGCTGTAGGAACAATAGTCATCAATTGTTCCAGTGTGAAACTTCCCAAGACTCTGAGTTTCCTTCCAGCTCTAAAATCCTGTGATTCTGTGACATCTGCTTCCCCAGGGTGGAGATTCCTTGGCCAGTTGAGAGGGTGGCCTGGCTAAGTTTTTTTGCTTTGAGCAGGAGTTACATCAAGTTAATGGGGTGACAGTGGTTACCTCAGGCCAAACCACACTTATTGGGTGTGTGTAAGGAAAAGTATATGTTCTGTTTGGCTCTTTGAAAAGTTGACAATAACTCTGTCCCTCGTCGCTACCTACACAATACCCCACTTCCTGAAAAGGATACTAGACGCTGGAAGCTGCTACTTGTGTCCCATTCCTCCTGCCTCTTCACCCTCCAGGAAGGGGATCCAACCTACAGCTGAGCAACATGACAGGAAAGGCAGGAGAACCAGAGAATTCCCAGCTTAGCAGGAAGTTCAGGGCTTTGGGAGGTAGATTAGTTTCCTAGGGCTGCTGAAATAAATCACTGTATACTGGGTGACTTAAAACAACAGAACTTTGGGGCCGGCTGAGTGGCTCAGTTGGTTAGGAGCTCGCTCAAGAGTGCAAGCTCTGAGCAACAGTGGTTTGAGTTCTGGCCCAAGCTGAGCAGCCGCTGAGCTGCCAACAGGTAGCAGGATGGCTCAGCTAGAAAGAAAGAAAGAAAAAAAAAAAACAAAAAAAACAAACAAACAGAACTTTGGGCCAGCCTAGGGGCGTGTTGGTTAAGAGTTGGCTTGGGATGCCAGCTCTGAGCAGCAGGGCCCAGTTCAGATCTCACATTAGGGCCAGTGACGCTGCGCCCTCTACAGCTAAGATGGTGAACAACAGCTCAACCTGGAGCTGGGCTGCAGTGAGGCTGCAGTGGGCTGCCGTAAAGTTACTGTGAGTGGCTAGCAGCCAGCGTGAGCAGCCGGCAGTCAGTGTGAGCTGCCAAGAGCCCCCATGAGCGACCGTCCAGTGGCCTGCGACCGATCTGCCTTACCCGTGAAGAGCGCAATGATAATACCAACATGGGCCAGTGAAGCGACGTCCTCCACAACTAGACTGAAGAGCAAAAGGACAGCAACTTGTCTGTTCACCTTCCCCGATTCTCCAACGCTGTTCCCCTCCCACAAATCCCCAATAAAATCTTAAAAAAAACAAAAAACAAAAACAGAACTTTATGATCTCACAGTTCTGGAGGTCAGAAGTCTGAAATCAAGGCGTTGGCAGGCATATACTCCCTCTGGAGGCTCTAGGTGAAAATCTTTCCTTGCCTCTTCCAGGTTCTGTTGACTTACCAGACCAATTCAGATTCAAATTTGGCCATGGGTGTGGGGGAGGTTTCCACACAGGAAAGACGGTGCTCACCTGCTGGCTGCACAAAAAGGAAGGCCCCACACAGGGAAATGGCAACTGTCTCTCCAGTTCTTACCCTAAAGTTATGCAATTCAGTCTCTCCCCATATGTCTCTGACGCCCCATGAGTCATCATCCCTCCACCAGAGCCCAGGGTGATGCCTGCATGGTCCCTTTAAGAGGATATCTGGGTTTCCCACTGCCTTCTGACCCACCTGGATGATCAGAATTCCCACTGTTTTTCACAGCCAGATGTTGTGAGGACTCCTCTACCTGGCACCAGTACTCTGGGGCTGGGGAACCTGGTGTGCAGCTGGGGTCCTCACTCCTCTGAGGGGAAACTCTGTGGCCCTGATATTATTCCCAATTTTCAACCACCACACGTGGGTGTGGGACCAGCCCATTTCGAGTCTCTGCCCCACCTACCAGTCTCGACGTGGCTTCTTCTTTATATCCTTAGTTATAAAACTTCTGTTCAGCTAGACTTCAGATGGTTCCCCAAGTTGATTGTTCTGTAATTTTAATGTGTTCACTGGATGAAGCAAGCACAGCGTGTATTTACTCCACCATCTTGGATCTCCCAAAGCCAGGTATATTGGCAGGGGCTGCCACCCTGTTGTGTCTGCGGGTGCTGGCTCAGGTTAGAATTGTGGGCAAAGGTCTGGCCATACTGCAGGCAGACATAGGACTTCTCACTGTTGGAGGCCAACTGGTGGAAGAGTAGGTGGGAGCTCTGGCTGAAGCTCTTGCCACACTCGCCAGCATAAGGTTTCTTGTCCATGTGTGTTGGTGCTGCAGCAGATTTGAACTGTCTACAAATGCTTGCTACAATTGGGGCACGTGTAGGGCTTCTCATCCATGTGTGAGCTTTGGTGTTTAAGGAGCTTGGAGCTGTAGCAGAAGGTTTTGCCACACTCTAGACGGGCATAAGTCATTCATCCAAGTGAATGTACTAATGCTCAGTAAATGGGTTTGCCCACTAAAGCCATGGTCACACTCCATTGTGGGTGTGCTGGTGCTGTAGGCAGTCAACTGGTGGTGAAGTTCTTGCCACGCTCACAGTGTGAACGCCGGTGCTTGGGCAGATAAGAGCTGCGCCTGAAGCTGTCACTGCACTAGGCACAGCGGTAGGGCTTTTTGCCTGTGTGCGTGCGCTGGTGCGCAGGTTGGAGCTAACGCTGGAAGTCTTACTACACTTAGCACAGGTATAGGGTGAGAAGCCCTGTTGGTGTTTAATCAGGTCTGAGCTGCAGTCAAAAGCCTCCTCATACTCTGGGCACTTGTGAGGCAGGAGGCCTGAGTGGGAGCAATGGTGTTGAAGTTGGAGCTGAGGCTGAAGCAACAGTCACGCTCAGAGTAGGGTATGGCTTCTCGCCAGCGTGTACCCATTGGCGCTTAACCCGATCTGAGCTACGTCGGAAGCTTTTGCCACACTCCGGAAAGCAGTAGGACCTGTCCCCAGCATGGCTGCTTTGGTGGTGACTGGTCAGTCCACACTTCTGGCACCCAAAGGCTTTAGGGATTGCAGGACAGTTGGTCCTGAGTTATGGGCTTCTATCTCGCCAGATCCAGAGCCTGACCTACAGAGTGTGGATGGAAATGGAAATGTCCAGCAGCCCATGCCGCTCTAGGAAGTGACAGCGAATGGTTTCAGTAGACTTAACCCCCTCATTCATCTGGCCGGTCCAGAACTCCCCATCTGCAGCCGCTGTCAGGCTACTTTTGACCTGGCTCGGGGTTCGTACGTCAGCGCGCATTTCGGTGCCCCGCCACCGCTGGGGGCGGCCAAGCGAGCCTAAAGGAAAAGGCAGTCGCTGCCCAGAACACCCTAGGGGCGGGCTAGTCAAGTCACCTGGTGCAGCAGGATATTGAGACTCCATAGTCGCGTGTTTCGGATCTCCAGAGGTACCGACCCCCTCCGGGTCCAATCCATCCTAAACCAGATTAAGCTTGGCGTGGACTACATATCCCAGCATGCATCGCACGCGCCTCCTGGGTTCAAGCAACGATTAGACGACCACGTCCCTCGAAGTGCTTTCTGCGACTGTGCAAGAATCAGAGTACTGGGATCAAGAACTACAACTTCCGACTTGCTTAATAACTGCGGCGGCGCTATTTAAAAAGCGTCATAGAGGGGAGCCTGGCTACGTCCCTCTCTTCCAGTTCCTCTCCCTTGGATCAGCGGCGAGAAGGGGGCGGAGCCTTAGGCCTGAGCCAAGATGGCGGCTGGGAAACCAACCCCCACGGACTCGCTCTCATTCTGCCTCGCGCAGCTCACGGCGGCGGCCGGGGAGGGTCTAGGTGGGGTAAAGGACACAGCTACCAACGAGACACCCTTGGGCCGTGCACTCTTAGCCCTCCGCACGCGCCACGTCAAGGCAGCGGGGGGAATCGAGCGCTTCCGGGCACGCGGCGGGCTCCTCCCACTCCTCGCGCTGCTACGGCGAGCGTCTGCAGCGGGTCCCGCCCCGTCCGAGGCTGGCCCTGGCTCCGCCCCCTCGTCGGTCGAGTCTGCGGCTTCTGCTGGCCCCACCCCCTCATCGGGCTCCACCCCCTCCGTTGCGTCCTTGTCGACGTCCTCACCGCCAGCGCGCCTGCGCAAGACCCTGGACTTGGCGCTTAGCATACTAGCCAACTGCTGTACAGAAGGGGCGTGCCGGGCGGAAGTGCGCAGACTCGGAGGCATTCTCCCTTTGGGTAAGTGCTCCGCCCTCACTTCCGAGAAGGATTCCACGCACACCCCCTCCTTGTCTGGGCCTGGGCGCTGTCTTGAGTTCTTTGTGTTGTATCCTGAAGAACGTGCTTGATGACGGCGTAGCGCCCCCACCTCTCAAGCCTTCACGCCCCGTTAGATTGCAGCTCTTTATAGATTACACCCGAGCACTCGCAGATCAGATAATTATAGCCATTGCCTGGGGATTGGTTGTCCGTTACCTCCTCACATCTGGGCTGGAGAGGCTATTTGGTGACTTATTTTACCCTCCATTTGTGAGGGTCGTAGCAGACAATGTCCCCTGAATGTCTGGCCCTATGCAGGGTTCCTGTTTGATTAGCTAGAGTCAGAAGGCTAGTGGTCCAGAAAGTCCACTGCAGAGAGGTAAACCCCTCCGAGGCTAGGGTTTCTTGCTGTAAAGTGGGATATTAATAGCGACGTCGCAAAATTGGAGTTAAAAGAAAATGAAATACAAATATATATATGGTGATGGAAGGAGAACTGACTCTGGGTGGTGAACGCACAATGTGATGCATAGATTAAGTACTACAGAATTATACACCTGAAACCTATGTAATTATACTAACCATTGTCACCCCAATAAATTTAATTTTAAAAAAAGAAAAAATACAAACATAGAGTGCAGATACTCTAAGCATGAACTGGGTACTTTGAGTTAGTAAATTACAGTAAGCATAAATCCTAACAAAAGACTGCAAGCTTTTCTGTTCTCTTAGCTAAATTGGCGCCCCCTAGAGGCAACGTTGTGAACACAGTTTACACAAAGCCTGCCTGAAATTATGCCAGTTTTGACAAAATCTTAAATTTTTGGATAAAACGAAACGTTAATATATTTTAAATTTGCATAAAATTCATTTGAACCAAAAAGTGTTTGAAAGTAGACCTGGCACATTAAGTCCTCAGTAAATTATAGATTTAGTTATTAGTCTATCACCCCTATCATTCAGTCATTATTCTCTGTGTTTTAAATATCTCCCGAATCCATCCACTCTGTCCCTCTACCTTCACATGCCCAGAGACCTGTCCCCAGGTGCTGGGCTGATAGTAGATGACCTGAGCCAAGTCACTGTGCTTTCTCACCTGGACAGCAGCCATACGGCTCCCCCTGCCTCATTCTTTCCCCCTATAATCCGTTCTCCCCTGGCTCTCAGATTCTATCATGTCACCCCCATCCTTAAAGCACCACGTGGCTCCAGTGCCTCAAATTCAAGCCCTGATTGCTCAGCCTGGCATTTGAGGCCCTCCCTGAGGTCAGAGCATACACTGGTCTCACCTCTGGGCTTTTGCAAAGGCTGCTCCCAACCTGAAATGCCCAGTAACAGCTCACTCCATCATCCTCTGGTCAATATCTACCTGTTTAACCTTCCACACTCAGCGAGTGTTAGCTCCTTCTGAGTCCTTCCCTGACCCTCTCAGCCTCATGTTTGAGGGGATTAATGAGAAGGACAAGAAGGGGTAGAATCCTAAGAGGCCACACTCTCTTGCAGTGACTATTCTTCAGTGTGTGAAGACCGACAGCATCCAGAACCGAACAGCCCGTGCTCTGGGCAACTTAGCCATGGAACCCGAGAGCTGCAGGGCCATCCATTCCGCTGGTGAGCAGGCTGCGCAGGGCAGCTCGCTGGGGCTGGGGTGGGAGAGGAGCTTGAGTATGTGCCATCGCCCACTGTTTGTCCTCCCTACCCCCACCCAGGCGCTGTCCCCTTGCTCGTGGAGAGCCTGACGGCCTGCCAGGACTCACAGTGCCGGCAGAGTGTGGTTCGCGCAATCCGCAACCTGGCAGACTCCCCCCAGCACCGCCTGGCCCTGGCACAGCAGGGAGCGGTGCGCCCACTGGCTGAGCTTCTGGCTACTGTCCCGGACCCCGCGCTGACCTTGGCCCTGGTCCGTGCCCTCCTGGAGCTGAGTCGAGGCTGCTCCCGGGCCTGTGCCGAGCAGCTGAGTTTGGGTGGTGGACTCAGCCCACTGGTCAGCCTGGCCTCCCACCCTAAAAAGGCAGTACGTGAGGCAACCATCCTGATCCTCGCCAACCTGTGTGCCCAGGGCCTGGTACGGCCTGCACTGGGCAATGCTGGTGGTGTGGAGGTGCTGCTGGGGGAGCTCCAGCGGCGCCGCAGCCCCAGTGGGGCCAGCCCAGCCTCCCAACAGCCCCTGGTGCGGGCTGTGTGCCTGCTGTGCCGGGAGGCCATCAACCGGGCCCGGCTGCGGGATGCTGGTGGTTTGGAGCTGCTGATGGGCCTGCTGCGGGACCCTCGCGCCAGCACCTGGCACCCTCGTGTCGTGGCCGCCCTAGTGGGCTTCCTCTATGACACAGGTGCCCTGGGCAGGCTCCAGGCTCTGGGACTGGTACCGCTCTTGGCTGGGCAGCTGTGTGGTGAGGCTGGCGATGAGGAAGAAGAAGGAAGAGAAGCTGCTTCCTGGGACTTCCCTGAGGAGCGGACACCTGAGCGAGTGGAAGCTGGAAGCTTCCAAAGCCTCAGGTGAGTCCCTACCTGAGGCTTTGGGATGGGGCTGTGTCTGTTCTGGCTCTCATCACTGCCCTCTCCCCGATTCAGTCTTGGTAAGACTTTTCTGGACTCTGACTCCTGATTCTTGCTTTCCTGGACATGACCACCTTCTAGTTCCCTTCACACAAACCTCCTCTCCCCTGTGTCCATCTTTGACCTTGGCTCCACCCAGCACCCTGACCTCTGGGCCCCGACAGCCTCACCGGAGGTGGTGTGTGCAGTGAGTATGATGGTGTGACTCTATAGGCTGAGGTTTCAGGGAAAAGTTAGCTTCACTGGGCCTCTGATTCCTGTATGTAATGGAGGGTAATAATACGCACTTACCCTGTGGAGTTGTTGTGAAGATGAAACAAGGGTCCTTTGCCCCTTACCTGGCACTACACACATCCAGTAAAAGTCAGCCGTCTGTGAGGCTCTGACTTCCCCAGCTGGTGCTTCCCTGGCGTCTTCTACGCTCTTGCTCATGAGCCTCCTAACTAGTTTCTGACCGTTGACAGGTGAGTCGTCTCAGGGCCTCCTTGGTCACTGTCTCCTGGCCAGAGCACTCTTCTTCCTGTCTTAATTCTTCTCTTCTTGGTGGGGCTACCATCACCCCCACATTGAAAATGCCAGCGCTTCCCTCCCCCGGCTTTTTTCTCTTCCCTTTATTTTTCTCCAGATGCATGGCTCCACACTGACACCTGTGGTTTCCTTATTTATTTCGTGGTCTCACAAGAATATGAACTCTAGGAGGAGAGGAAGTTTGGTTTTGTTCTTTGCTGCTCCCCAGCACCAGAAATGGGGCTTGGCACATAATCGGCCTCAGTAATTGCTGAATGAGTTGGGGTTTCCCCCGCTCTCTCCCCCATCTTCCCTGCGACCACCACCTTCTCTCCCAGGGCTCTGTCACCTCCTGTGGCTCTGCCCCCTCACCTTGGCCCTGCATTCAGCCTCCCCTCCTCCCCTCTGCAGGTCGTGGCTGATATCTGAGGGCTACGTCGCAGGCCCGGGAGACATCTCTCCCGACAGGTTTCCGGAGTGCTGCCCGCTGCCTCCGCCGGCAGCGGAGCCGACCAGCCCCGCCCCTGGCCCAGCCTTGCTGCGGACACCTCGAGCCCTGCGCTCGCTAGGCCGCAGCCCAGCCGCCCTTGAGGAGCCGTGGGGCCGCGAGGGGCCAGCGCTGCTGCTGTTGTCACGCTTCTCCCAGGCTCCAGACCCTAGCGGGGCGCTGGTGACCGGCCCGGCCCTGTGCGGCCTGCTGGCCTATGTGACGGGCGCGCCTGGCCCTCCGAGCCCCCGCGCACTGCGTATCCTGGCGCGCCTCACCTGTAACCCTGCCTGCCTGGAGGCCTTCGTGCGCAGCTACGGGGCTGCGCTGCTGCGCGCCTGGCTGGTGCTTGGTGTAGCCCCGGACGACTGGCCCACGCTGCGTGCCCGGCCCCTCAGTCGCCACAGCCAGCATCGGGAGCTGGGTGTGTCCCTGCACCTCTGCCCATCCTCCCCTTCTGCCCGCCCCCCCAGAGCCCAGAACCGCGCCTTACCACTCACCCGTGTCACTACCCGCCCCGCCCCCCATCCAAACGACCCCAGCAGCCAGAAATTGGGAAGAAAGGGCTCCATTCTGCTCCATCGCCCCAGCACGCAGAGATCTGCTCCATCCTCTGCCCAAGCCTTGGGGTTCAGATACCCCTAAATCAGGCTTAGCCCCAACAACTTAGAATTGTGCCTGCCTGCATTTCCTTACCCAGTGTAGGTTCTGAAGTCCTGACTGCTCCCCACTGGGTACACTTACTTGTGAACCGAGGCTTAGGCACCATGGTCCTCCAGACCCCACCCCCTGACTCTCCCTGAGCTTCCCTCTCACTTCTTGTTCTTGCCCTCAACCCCCAGTTCCTAGCATCTGGCCCCATCCCGCCAGGGCCTGTGAACCGTCCCCCCTTTCCTGTGCCCTGAGGTTCTTCCCTCCTCACTTTCGGGGCCAAGGCCCATCTTGCCCAGCCCAGCCCAGCTGTCTTGGGCAGCAGCTCCCAGCCTGACCCGGTCTGCCTGTCCCTGCAGGTGAGATGCTGCTGCAGAACCTGACAGTGCAGGCTGAGTCACCCTTCGGAGTGGGGGCCCTCACTCACCTGCTGCTCTCTGGGAGCCCCGAGGACCGCGTAGCCTGTGCATTGACCCTGCCTTTCATCTGCCGGTGAGGCCTTGAGCACTTTGCCGGGTTTGGGAGTAGGGCTGCTGTTCCCCCCCGTCCCACTCTTTCCCACCTTTTGAAGCATTCTCTTTCTCCCCAAAGGAAGCCGTCTCTGTGGCGCCGGCTACTTCTGGACCAGGGTGGCCTCCGTGTCCTCCTCGCAGCACTGACGCGGCCAGCCCCACACCCGCTTTTCCTCTTCTTCGCTGCGGACTCCCTGTTCTGCCTCCAAGGCCTGGCGTCTCCCACTGCAACCCCAGCCCTCCCACGTGCAGTCCCTGGGGACCGAGAGGTGCCCTCCCCTTGTCTCTATGAGCCTCTGCTGGGCCCAGCGCCCACCCCAGCCCCTGACCTGCATTTCCTGCTTGACTCCGGCCTGCAACTCCCTGCCCAACGAGCTGCCTCATCGACTGCCTCCCCATTCTTCCGGGCCCTGCTAGCTGGCAGCTTTGCTGAAGCCCATATGGACCTGGTCCCACTCCGAGGCCTGTCACCCAGCGCAGCCTGGCCTATCTTGCACCACTTGCATGGCTGCCGGGGCTGTGGGGCATCCCTGGGGCCCATCCCCCCGCCAGGCCAGCCCCTGCTGGGCTCCGAGGCTGAGGAGGCCCTGGAGGCTGCTGGCCGATTCCTGCTGCCTGGGCTGGAGGAGGAGCTGGAAGAGGCCGTGGGCCACATCCACCTGGGACCTCAGGGTGGCCCAGAGTCCGTGGGTCAGGTGTTCCGCCTGGGCCGACCCCGGCTGGCTGCCCACTGTGCCCGCTGGACGCTGGGGCCAGAGCGGTGTCCACGGAAGCGGGCCCTGGCCCTGGTGGGGCTTGTGGAGGCAGCAGGTGAGGAGACAGGTCCCCTGACTGAGGCTTTACTGACTGTGGTGATGGGGGGTGAGTTGGGGGCTAGGGGTCCCAGCCTAGACTGTTGATAACCCCTCGAAGGGGACCCGAGGATGAGATGGCTGTGAAGGAGGCTTCCCTCAGAGTGGCTGGGGGAGGAGGCTCAGCAGAAGTCACCACCGAGGACTGAAGAAAGGGTGGCACTAGACCCCAGGATGACGGGCTGATGACTCAGGAGCGAAAGCCAAGCCGTGGTCTGGCATGGGGTCCCCGAGATGGAGAAGAGCCCAGGGCCCCAGGCCTGGCCCAGCCTTCCGGAATTGGGATTAAAACTTTGGAAGTAGATCCCCTACTGTGTGTTGTCTCTGTTTACTTTCCCATGGGAGACTCCTTACCCCTCACCCACCAAGGAGGGTCTTGTCCAGGCCTGTGTGTCTCAGTGCAGGACACCCTGGCATGGAGGAGTTTCAGGAGTGACACGCAGTGGTTCCTGGAGTCCTGGCATAGGGTGGAGTCCCCAGGCCTCTCCCTAGGATGTGGTTTTGGGCCCCAAGGGAAGCCTTCCTCCTGCTTACATGACTTCATTGCTCAGACAGTCACTCAACTGGCCTCACACCCTCAGTGGAGTCCCAGAGGGCTGTGCTGGGGGAAAGCTGAGTGTGGCAATGGATGCCCCAGGCCTGGACATTACTGGTTTATAAGTGTCCATCACCCATCTTGGGCCTTCAGTCTCTGGGTTTGTTTTCATCTCTTGGGCCAAGTGTCCTGCTGTTTGTCTGAAGGAAGACCTGTGTTCCTAGAGTCCCTGACACCTTCTTTTGGTCATGCCCAGAAAGCCAAAGCCCTGGGCTGGCACTGAGGTGAGGGAGGGGCTCCTGTGGCTTTGTCTCCAAGGCAGGGTCTCTGTCACCTGGCTCCCAGGTCACTGACCACTCAGGTGGCAGCCTGACTGAGGAGACGGGCTGGACTGGGTCTGCCAGTGGCCTCTGTGGAGCTAAGGTTGACACTACTCCCTGTGTCCAGGTCTCTTTATTATTAGGCTGTGCATTAGGACCACCAGAGCACTTTGGAAAGATCTGTTAAAATACTGATGCCTGAGCCCCTTCTGGTTGAATTGGACGGAGGGGGAGGGTGCCCAGGGCATCAGTATTTCTAAGAAGCCCCCCAGGTCATTCTGATTGGCCTCTAGTTTTGTTTTTTTTCCTTCAGTTTAATTAACATGGGTTATTGCCTTACAGGAAAAATACCAAATTAGATAAAATCTTGTAAGGATCTCAGCTCAACGGTCTATAACACAAGAGATAGTATCAGCAAGTATACATAACTGGGAACCACAGATGGCACTGTGATTCTTACATATTTTTCTGAATGACAACCTTAAAACAAGGGCCGTACACTAATCACTTGACCCACTGGGTTTTTTTGTTCGTTTGTTTTTTTAAAGATTTTATTGGGGAATTGGGGGAGGGGAACAGCACTGGGGAATCGGGGGAAGGGGAACAGACAAGTTGCTGTCCTTTTGTTGTTCAGTCTAGTTGTGGAGGACGTCGCTTCACTGGCCCATGTTGGTATTATCATTGCGCTCTTCCCGGGTGAGGCAGATCGGCTCTTGGCAGCTCACACCGGCTGCCGGCCGCTCACACTGGCTGCCGGCCACACATGGTAGCTTATGGCAGCCCACTGCAGCAAGGGCTGCAGCCTACGCTGTTGCCGGCGAGTCATGGCAGCCCAGCTCCAGGTCTAGCTGTTGTTCACCATCTTAGCTGTATAGGGCGCAGTATCACTGGCCCTCATGTGGGATCTGAACCGGGGCCCTGCTGCTCAGAGCTGGCGTCCCAAGCCAGCTCTTAACCAACACGCCACTCAGCTGGCCCTTGACCCACTGTTTACAACAGAACATTGTATACCTCATTTCCACATCCAAAAAACGTGTGCTGTAAGGAAATTTACATTTTAATTTAAAATTTTCACATATAAATTAAAGTCTATGTCAAATATTTAATACTCTACCCAACGCAAACCGTTTTACATGAACTAGTTTACATGATGCTTTGTACACAGTTCCGGCAGCAGATGGAATGTGCCTTGTAAATGGCAGTAAACGCCTTACATCGTGGCCTGTGGGCCGGCACATGGGCTCCTGTGGCCCGCTAGTCCTTAAGGCTGAAGTGCTCATGGTTGGACTCAGGTCTGGGTGGACACCATGGTTCAGTGGCTGCAGCACTGCTGTGTCTGTCCAGACCTGTCTATAGCCTGTCGTCTCATTTCCGCCCTGACTTTTCAGGGTCTCAGTCCAGGGAAGCCTCTGACTCCTTGGCGGCTGGTGGAGGCCTGTCTTGCTTGCTGTCTTCTCTGTGCCCAGCAACACCTCAGGAAGGGGCTCCATCTGGAACAAGTCTGGGCTGCTTGGGGTCTGGCTGCCTGGCAGTGTTTTCTTAGTCTGCATGGGGCTTGTACCTGGGTTTCAGTTTAACTGTGTCTGTTTCCAAGTCTCGGAGAGAAGGTCCTGGTTCTGAGTCTGTGGAAGGGCTCACTGTGTTCGTCTCTCTCAGAGATTTATTCGTACCTAGTACCTGTGCCCATTGGGATCTCTGTGTCTATGTTGTTGTTTGTTAGGGTCTCTAAGGGAAGGTCCCTGAACCTGCGATCTGGCTGATACTAAGAACATCATTCCCGTCCCCAGCCTCCAAATTCTGTCTGAAGCAAGCCTGGGAGGGAGGCGGGGTGCTAGCTTAGGAGGTTCCGTTTGGGTGTCTCAGTCTGTGTCTGAGCGTCTCTCTCGTCTCTCTGCACGGAGCATCCCAGGCTGCTCTGAGAGCCACTTCTCTGACTCTGGCCGTGGCCGCCTGGGGCTCCCTGCTGCTGAGGCCAAGGCTGGGGTGTGGCAGCCTCTCTGCAAGCAGTCGGGCTGGGCCTGCGTGGCCTGGGCCCTCCTTCCCTTACACGCCCCCACCCGCGCTTCTCCTGTTTGTTGCCCCCGACTCCCCCCACCTTTCCCTCCAGCGCCATCCCAACGGGTCCCGCTTCCTTACATGGTCACGGGCTGGGCCTCCAGCTCCCGGACGTCCCCCCTTCCACCGGACACGGCCCCCGCCCTGCTCACCCAGCGTGGTCTGTCTGCACCCCGCCATGGAGGACCTGGGTGAGTGGGGCTGGGTCCCGGCTGTCCCCAGCCCCTCACCATCCTCTGGACCTGCTTCCCCATACTGGAGCCCCCTCACACTCTCCTCCTGCATCTCACCATTCCTGCCTCCTGTCTTCTTGCTTCTGTTTCTGCCCGCGCCTCCTTTCAGACTCCACGTCCCCCTTCCTGCCTCTCCCTTCCTGCCTTTCCCAGGCTGGCACTCCCTCCCTTCTTGCCTCGCTCCACTCCTCCTTCACAGGCTGCAGACGGATGGGCAGGGAGGTATGGTGGCCGTGGGCGCCTGGGCTCAGGGGCTCTGGGATGGGAGGGGTTAAAGAGGTCCTGGGTCTGGGGACTGGGAAAGTAGACCGGAAGGGAGGCAATGATATCAAGTCCTGGAGAAGGAAACCGGTCTGCCCTGGGGTTTCAGGAAGGAAAGAGTTAAGGGGTCCTTAAGTTTGGTAGGGATAGGTAGATGGCGGGGAGAGGTTAAAGTTTCCACTACGGTGCTCAGAGATGAAGAGTAAAGGGACAGGGTCTTCTAAGTTCTGGAAGGGAAAGGGTTCAAAAGATCCGGATCTGGGGATGGGCGGTGGTTCTTTCTGGGCAGAAAGGAGGGCGCAGGCATCTTGTCCTCCCTGTCTGTTGGAACTGGGGCTGGAAGTCTGTGCCCTCCAACTGTGGGACAGAAAGGGTTCCAGCATCCTGTAAGGGGTGCTGCTCAGTAGGGGTAACGGGCACTGATACTGCAGAGAATAAGCCAATCAGAAAGCAGGTCCCTGCAGACTCACCAGTGAGGTGCATAAGGTGGTTCCCCATGGGTCTGGAGGTGGGCCGGAGCTGAGTGGGCCTGTTCAGGTCGGGGGAGAAATTAGCGGGCTTGGCAAAAGAGCACCCAATCAGGAAGCTGGGTTCCAGGCATCTAGCCAATTGAGCAATTTGGGGTGGAGCCAAACTTGGCTCCAGGGAAGAGCCAATTTTGACTGCATTAGGGAAGATTCGGAAAATAAAAAAAATCAGGCGGGTGGGTTTGTACGTGATGCCCAGGATGAGTCATTTGGGATGTTCTGGTCATAAATTTTCCTTGCTGTTCTTCCACTTCTCTGCCTTGGTTTGGCCTTGTGTCTCCTTCTGATTCTTGACCTCTGCTCTTAATGCTGCCTTCCGCCCTCAAATACTGCCCACTTGGAAGTACTATCTTCTGATCACTTAAGGCCCTCTTTGTCTCTGCCCTTACTTTGACCTCTCAACTTCTCACTCTGATGGCCTCTCCTTTCAGATGCTCTGCTCTCTGACCTGGAGACCACCACCTCACACATGCCAAGGTCAGGAGCTCCAAAAGAGCAGCCCCCAGAGCCCCTCACATCTCCCCTGTCCTATGGCCACCAGCCACAGGTGAGATCAGTTGCTGTGGACTGGGACAACCACTGAGGCCTGTCTTGGCCCAGGCTAGGGGACTCTGGGCCTGAGTGAGGCAAGATACAGATCTACCATCCCATACATGTGTCCTCTCTGTAGATGGCGTCTGGGCAGTCTTCAGGAGCCTCAGGGGACAAGGACCATCTGTACAGGTAAGGGGCCTGGGAATTGGGGGGTGGGGAAGTCAACTCCAACTGAGACTCAGGTGAGGAGGCTTGGATTCCCCA